CACTTTCGGGCCTCACATGCCCGAAAGTGGAGATTGTAGATATCAAGGCTGTATGTAAAATGTCGTATTCTAAGTAATAAGCCAGATTGTTTTAATAGACCTATTATATTAGGTACGAGGAACAAATCATAAGATATTGTAGGTAGCAAATTGCAAAAATAATACCTACCCTAGATTTGACAATCGCTGCACGAATGTTTGAAACTGAAAACGTAAACTAAGTATTCAATAAATAAAACAGTCAGTACAGGTTCAGTACAATAATTTCTCCTCACAAGATTTTACGGCAGCGTATTCTAAAGCGGTTGCTTTTTGCCGCACCTGTTAATTTTACTGGACAATGGACTGAGCGATCGGCGAGCGCATCTGAACAATCGACGTGGCGTGAGCCCGCTTAATTGCCTCCATTGCCACTGAATAATTTCGATTCCAATAGTACGGTGCACCGGCGCATTATATAAACGGTCACTTATTTGAACCGTTCCCTATTGGTAAACAACTCTATCGATATCATTTATACATCCTTTAAATTAAAATCGTCACATTGTTGTTCGATAATGGGTTTGGATTGAATAAAAGTAGGATCGAGTCGCTTTACAGAACTGACCTATAGTTAACCTGGAGTTAATTTAACAATCGCCCGCTTGGGTGGTAACCGGCAACGATATTGTCTCGAGACATAACAGCTGGGTTTACGATCAAATCGCCGCAGTTGGTGCTTAATGTAAAACCAGTTTAAATACACTCGTAAATCTCTCGAGCGCGTGCCCACGCTCCAGATGACGTTCCACCTCATACATAGCTTGCATCTCTTCTTTCACGTGTAAGCATGACTGATTATCGCCTTTAGCTGTGAGTTCTTGATCATTTCTTATTGATTTCTTGATATTCCCCTACTTCCTTTTAGTCGGTGTTGAACATTTAAAGAACTTTCATTTACTTTAATCTTTAAACCAATTGTACTACAACAATATAGCAAAGGCATTACCCAACGAAGTATTAAAGGGAGCGATTGTTGATTAAAGGAAGGCGTTGCATTCCCATGGCTCGCGACGCGGAAACGGTGGTGCAAATGAATCCAAATGGCATTACGCCGGCGATCACGTCGGCACATAAATCGCAGACCCCGATAGAACAATTAAAAGAGGAGTTTAAAACAATTACGCAACGGTGGCCCTCGGGCGGCTCGTGAAGCCACAGAGCAGAAAATCTAGCCTGAAATTACATCTCTTGAGTCGTATTTACTGCTACAAAACACATTTAATTACATTGCTGTATAAGAAACACCCACGACAATAATTCAATAACAGACATTTTTCATTTTGTCGTCTGCGAAACATCAATATTCAATTTAAGCTCGTTACAGATAACTCTTCAAGTTTTCTGTTCTGTGGTCTACAGAACAATCCTAACATATAAATCTATTAAAATCTATAATTCCTTAATGTATATCTGATAGGATGCTTTATGGTGTAGTAGCCCTGTCGAGTATTAATCGAAATCAATTGTCTTACGACAATAAGTCATGTATGGGATTTTAATTGAGAATATTGCTATCATTCATCTTGCCCGCGGCCTATGGTACTGTTCACTCGCAAAAGGAATGTTTGTTCCTGTAAGTCTTATTTGCACCAAAGTTAATAAAGCTTGTTTTGATTCAAAATCTATATCACATCAGAATTAACGAATCATTTAAACCTAAGTACCTACTTAGAGAGAGCATGATTAATAACTTAACATTTGGAATAGACTCAAAAAAGTTACAATTACGTATGATCAAAAATAATAACATTTTACGAGCATTACTCTCGCATAACATATTGCAGTACCTTAATACAAAAATCTTATTACAATTTTCTATATTCTACAAAACACAATCAATATTCCCGGTATATCTCATTCGATTCTCAGCAGCTCCTCGTGGTAGAGCGTCCAAGCGATCTGCATCCGGCTGATCCCATTTTAATGGAGCGCTCGGCAAACAAGCTTCCGACAAGCCCGGTAGGAGCCGCTTACTGGCAAATCCACCGGGATCCTATGCGCCACTTAGCTACGGACATGGTGCTGCAACAAACCTACCAAAAAGGAATCGCCTTTTTTTTTTTCAGATATCTCTCATATGCCAAAACATTTATCCTCATAGATGAACATGTTAAAAAAAACTTTAGAATTTCCTTTTTCTGAACGTGCTTTAATACGGACTGACATCTGTACCTAGTATATTTTTATCTGTCTATACATATACTCGTAACATTAAGCAAACGTCTTAATAAGACTACCTATTTCTGCCGCCAAGCAATAATATGAGCATTATTATGTTTCTGTTTTGAAGGGTAAGGGTAGAAGGGTATGGTGCTGGTGAAGCTGGCGGTGGTGGTGGTGGCTTACAGGCACATGGGACTTGTCAACTTATACCTCAGGGTGACGGGCGCAGTGGCAGTGCGCCTTAGATCTTTGCGGTTTAAAGCTCTGAGTGGCACTGTAACTGTTATGCGTAGGCGTGTCGCTTACCGCCAGGCGCGCCCCTTGTTCGTCCCGTCGCTTAGTATCATAATACAAAACCTTGAATTATCTCAAGTTCATCTTTCTTGACAAAATGTGCCGTCGTCTATATTCCTACATACATATATTTTTTCAACTTTCAGTTGCCACGTATCAACATTTTGCATGATACCTAAACACTGTCTGACTTTGTGGGTAACAAATTTGTAGTTCACGTATTGCGCGTTCTTGTTCTACTGCGATTACTTCGTTCGAAGTTCGATGGTCGATTTTGTGCAAAAATGCTCTGTATATGTACATTACATACATTGATATTTACTAGGACTCATGATTTAGTAAAAGATGGAAACTTTATTTCCATTATATCAAAATAAATTGTCATAAAATTCATTACAAAAACTTAAAACCGAGTCTCACAAATCGCCCTTTGCCGACGATGTGGCTTTAAATAGCGCGTCTCCGCCATTTATTTCACACATTTAAATGGGAATTAATCTGGCATTGTGTGGCCAGAGCGCGACCATCGTTAATATTTCGCTTCGTATTGACAATATGCTCACACTAAGGGCTTTGATTCATTAGCTAGCGGGCAACGACCGGCGCATAAAGGACCTGCATCCCTGCATTCGTTCCGTGGATACACCTTCGCCGACCTGCGCGCTAACGAGTCAACAGACGATAATGATCATATTGAAAAAGATATGACTCGCCGAACGACGCTAAGGAACACCTATGGCGAATAAATTAATCCTTTCATTGTAACTTGACCCCGTTGACCATTACGCAAAAATCAACATAACCTCTAAAATAAACTCTTTTGACCTAAATACGTTGTAGATTTGAATAAACCATTCCCAGTTCTCGAAAATGTACCTGGTAAAAATGATAATCTTTAGCAGAAATATATTTAAAATCAGGAAATTGTTATTCAAACAAATCTAACTTTACACGAGCAGAAAATGAATCCTAAACAATAATCTCATAAATAATCGAATCGGGATCCTCTATTCATAATTCTTCGAAAACAACGCGGCTTCTTTTTTCAGGACATCTGCTTTTTTTATTTTTACGTCTATGAATAATTTCGCAGACGAATTGTAATTTATTCAGTAAGAATTGACGGGAAATCTTTTAACCAAGTTTTATGTAAAAAAATCATTGTATTTTTTTAGTATTTCTTGACATTCATAAGTTTGTGAAAAGATATATTCTGTAGTAGAAATGTCCACATTGATGAATTTCAGAATATCAGCGATGACGTCCACCATTGAAAATTTTCCACGATTTGTATTCGATCTGGAGAATTCGCCTCCCGGTCCCGTAGTTCCGATGCAAGCTACTTTAAATGTAAAGACGGCGCATTGCATAATCACCAACGTGATTCGCTATCAGTATTCGGTACTAAATATTTATTATCCTCAGTTTTTACGATACTTTTTGCGAGTCATCGTAAAATGTTATAGATATCGATGGCAATGTACGTAATAGTTTCTAGTAATGTACCGTCTCCATGAACTTTCCTGTAAAAAACCTGATGTACCGTCATTACGGAATTGAACGTCCAATAACTGAGAAAGTTGATTTGTAAATATTGTACGTATAGTTAAACGTATTAATAACGTGTCACGCCGTCAAATTAAACTCCCAATAAAAATTTAATACGGTCTCCCACTAGACATCTTTGACCTAGCCGATTGTTTCAACTACCGGTATTAGACAATAATTTGGGTTCCGCAAGACTACTAATGATATTTTAATTTCCTTTACACGACATTGATACGGTATGTATTCTTATTGTCTTTTTATTTCTGTTCAATTTCACACACAAATTGATATATCTTGTTGACATTTTATGTTCCTGAAAATTAAAGCGTTTCTCTTTCAATCTCTGTAGTTCATGGCGTAATACAAATTGAGAGTATAATTTCATATAATATCAATCAAATTCATTGTCCTGCCCGAGGAACCCAGCGGCTGCCACTAATTTGGGCCGTCCCATTTTTTGTCTTACTCGGCAGCCATCTTCGATTTTAATATAAAGCCAGATCAGACATTAATTAAGTCGCCTGATGAGTTTGCGTCCCGCTCGCCACCGTCATTACGGCTACATGTAGAGGCGAGAAGTTTTTTTAATTCGTCATTATTCTGTGGCGTAAAGAAATGTTAATTCGAGGCAGCGTGAAATTAACAGCGGCCGCATTGCCCTTTGTAGGGCCGCGGCGGCTGACTTAAACACACAACGGGTGACGAGCTACACGCTCCTTTCATACTCGACTCTCTTATTTGCACTCGATTACTCTTTTTGTATGCTTTCATTAACACTCGCTACCAATGATAGTTGAACATCAATTTGGAGCTGATGAGTACGCTTACCAAGAACTATGCTAAACATAGATGACTGTTGACACTTATCTCTTATCCTTGAACGCAACATCCACCCAACTCAACATTAGCGCTTTATGTCTTTTCCCAGTACACAATTGAATATATTGTTTCAGTGGTACCGGGTAGACAAGAATCGGATAAGCCCTGAACTACAGGAAAAGTTTATCCAGTTGGACCCTGATGAAGAAACGAGGGAGTTCCTCTCTGCTTCCATCGAGAAGTCCACGTGGGTCTGGACGCAAATATGGTACCTGCTGGCGAAGGCTATTCTCAAACATTTCTGGTCTGTGACCGATATCAATGGGTAAGTTTTTAACCTCATCAATTGTTATAATAGTGTAGCTCTGTGACAATTCGTAGGCGTTACCAATACAGGCTAATTGAAATAATGTATCTTGCAGTTCCTCAAAGTGGTTACAGCGAATACCAACAAGACAATGTTGCAATTTGCAGCTACCTCTCACACGCTCACACATATTGATGTGAAGGATAAATCTATCCGGATGACGCATTACCATCGCACTGATTGTTGCGATCGTCCAATCCAATAGAGCCCTCTCGGATCCTCTTGCGATCATTAAATACAAATACATACGGCATCAAACTTTTTAATATAAATCTAATGAATCATGATTTTAACAAACGATGAATTGCCATTTGAATCACGACAATGGTGCTTTATTAAGTGCGTCCAGATTCGTTCAATTACGCCAATTACAATCTCCCGGTAGCTGGGAGTATGTATGAGTATATTATAGTATTATTTCCCCATCCATTGTGTGTCGTATCTGCACAAATTAACTAATTCGTATCGAAGCTAGGTGTGAACCAGTCGATGAAATAATGTTTGCTTTACGACGATACACTACTTTAGATTGTGGGAAATTTAAGATCGTTGCTATTGCGGCACCTTTCAATTTAGCCTGATATATTTTGTGCTACTTTTTCTTATAATTCCTTCCTTCGTGTTATTTATTTGTTATTTAATTTACATGAACTTAGAATTAATAGTAAGGGCTAAGATTCTAGTAGCACGCACCTGTGTAATAGTGCATTGATACCTCATTCGATCTGTGAAGTTTTCGTACAGTCGATATCGATAACTATTCTCAGTTTGTCCCATCACGTGTCACGTCCGGGCGAGCGCTGTGAACGCACACTGAAAGCGATCGCGGCGGGTGTCTATAGCCGGCCACTAATAAATAATTTGAATAAATTGACGGACGAGATTTACTCATTGGCTGTTTCCGTTCTTCAATTATGCTTTATTTATCACTTGCTACTCGGCGAAGTGCTCCTGTTGGCCTGTGCAACGCCTTTGCGACTAGATTGTCTATGATAACACAACTTCAATGTTTTATTCAAAATATGTAAAACCAATTCCTGACCGTCGCTGTATGCTCTAGTAGACGTTTTCAAGAATCGTGTAGATTTCTTTCTTTGCCCTTTTATTATAAAAACTTCCTTATCTCGACTGCTATTACTGTTAGTAATTTTCACGAATGTAGCAATTTACTACCTACATTTGAACAACAGAGATACTTTGCAAAGGAAGCGTCGGCGTTATTGCGCCCTCCGCTTAAATATCCGGGATATTAATCATTGCCCATAGTTAGGATAAATGACTCAATAAACGCGCGCTTCAGCGATATTGACTTTTCCGGTTCAAACACTCGCTTAAATGAATACACATTCAATGGATTTCAATTTGACGATATAGATTTATACCTCGGGACTTCCTCATTATGAAATCTAGGATATCTGATTTAGTCTATTCAATGTTGTGTTAGTATCTGTCACTATTTTTCTTTTGGCGTAGGTATATCTGTCCGTAAATAAATGGAAAATCTCATTCGTGTTTTAATTTAATTTGATATAACGTGTTTTATCACATCTATAATATTTACAATTTTGACCAAAACATCAAAGTAAACCGCAAGATACTGTACACATTATCATCAAACCATATTCGTCTCACGACTGGGCATGGATCTCCTTTAAAGAAAAGGTTTTAAACTACTTACGCTACATTTTTTCCATGATACTAAGCGATGGGGCGAACAAGTCGTGCGCCTGATGGTAAACGACACGCCTGTCCATAACAGTTGCAGTGCCACTCAGAGCTTTAAATCGCAAAGATCTGAGATGCACTGCCTCTGCGCCCATCACCCTGAGACATAAGTAGAAAAGTCCCATGTGCCTGTAATTTCACCAGCACCCTTACCCTTCAAAACCGGAACGCAGTAATGCTTACCGGCAGACATAGGAAAGGTGGCAGTACTTCCCTGGATGAACTCTTTCACAAGGAACTCTAGTGCTACAATGCTAGCCCAATGTGGGTTGAAGACTTCACATATCGTCAGAGTTCTTAGGCTTTCGCGATGATACCCACAAAAAATTAAACTAGTTTTTTCGGATATAGTGACCATCTTGTTTATTTGAATTTCGAACAAGCGGAATCCCTTATTGCGTATTATCTTTCAAAGAAACCTACGTTTCAAGCTTATTAGAGGTCTCATATTAATGGCTGACTGAGCATAAATGACCATGGGACCTGTAAAAGGGCCCGAAACCTTGGTTTATTTGAAAAACAAATGTACGCGATTAAGGATCGTATTCTAGAACTCTACTCAATGCTCAAGTCAGGATTGCACTGGAAACACAAGTACTGGAAATACGACCCTAATGGCAGGGACTTGAGTATGATTTCGAGTGCTTTAAACCATACTCAAATCCTGACTTGATCATTGAGTAGAGTTCTAGAATACGGCCCTAAGACCCGAAAGAAACCGAGATGTCAGTTTCCTACAGAATATACTTCGGTAAGTGTGCCCATGAGCTCCATCAGCTCATTCCACCCGCTCTCTTTAACCATCAGATATTCAGAAATACAGCGGAGTCTCATCCCTACTTCGTCAATATTCCCTTCAGGCGTACTAAGCGCTTTTCGTCATCTTTTAATATGCACACAGCCCGGAACGGAATTCCCTGCTTGCTACTATGTTTCCGAATACATACTACCCGAGTATCTTTATAATACGACTGAATAAGCTGGGTGAGCTAGTTCTGTCGTGGACCCTATCTTTACTGCAGGGCTAGGTAGTAGTCAAGAGCAAGTTCATTTACGTACATAAAAAAAATTTAAAGATTATATAAATGTTTCATTCATATCGAACCATCATCAAAATGCAGGTACTATCCATTATTTGAAATATCGGTGGTACCTCAATATGAATCGAACAGTACCTCCTACAAAGGCGACAAACATTCTTCTACCTAGGCTACAATTGCTACAAAATCTGTCTGAGATATTTTCGCATACACTCATAGCCCCGCTCTAGGGAAACTCTGTATAACACACGCATAAACAACCACAAACTACACCCAAAAGCACGAGAGAAATGAATGAAGTCCATACAAGTATATCTCCTGGCCCGAGAACCGAACCCGGGACCTCTGCGTGGCAGACCAGCATGGTAGCTGTTCGGCCATGGAGACAATTATCATTATATTTTATATATCTATAAAAAAAACACAGTTTGCGCATATATTCGAGTTGAGCCTGTAACAGCGTATTTTTTCAATCAGCTAAAACGTCGAAAGGTCTCGGAATCAGTGCTAGGGGCAGACAGGCTCATTGACACGAGACAACAAACTGCCGAAATCAATTGGCGAAAATCGACTGCATCTCGGGTCGGTGTCAACAGCCGACTCGTATATTGTCGCCTTGTCGATCGCATATCGAACTCAACAAGACGTAATTTACACAAATGTCTTCGTTTAAATTACGTCTTACAATCGCAATTAGACCTTGCCCGTTGTACTCAAGTGCGACTATAACGGAATATTTATATTGCAATTTTCATTTTGTTGTGTGTATTTTTAGTATACGCGTATATGTACGTACGTATTAATCATTTCATACTTATGTAATTGTGTTTTTTTTGTCTCAAAAGAAGATGCTCTAGCAAGAATATGATCTATTTCAGCTGTTGACCGTACTCATGATAACAAACTTCAGCAAAATAAACATTTGTAAATTCGCAAAAAAATTTGGTTTCCCATACAAATATCCGATTGATCGCGCATATTTTGAATGAGAATAGGGTCGACCCTGTACTAAGTCCTTCTTTCGTATAGCTACTGAAACCGATTCGAATCGTCATTTCCATAACTGCTCACAAAGTTAGACCCTTTATCTAAGATGCAAACCATTTATGTAGATTTCGTGCTCTGGCCAAAATTCTCAATACGTAAACGTAGAGGTTCGGGTGCCAATTTGCCAGGTCCTCGTCACTCGTTTTTTTACGAGCACTTAATCAACGGAACCTATATTAAAAACCCTCGCTAAAGCGCACCAGAACAATGCAATATTGTGTACATTGTTTATATTAGTGCCACTCTCTTTAGGAAATACGTGTTTCTCACTGCCTTTGGTTATTTTACGCTACTGTTTTCTCGAAACTCATTTGCAATCATTTAAAAAATTGTAGCTTTAATATTTATTTTAAGCTTAACGCAGGACCAAAGATTATTTCTCAGCGTCTGCTAAAAAGTATTCGTGTAAGTAATCCGCTGGTGTACAATACTTCGAAATTAATAATTTATTTCAAACTGAGGCGTCAAAGACACCTTAATTATGAATTCACACTCTCCATAGTTGAATGCAAACGTAATAATTATTTCGGAGGTTAATTACTATGACCTTAAATCGCTGTTTTAATAATACAAAAATGTCGTATAATTATGTTCTGGTCACTTAAAGATTATTCCTTTTAAGTAATATCCTAATTGCGGGTATTTATATTCATATTGGGTGTAAACAGCTTTCGAGCGGCCTCATGTTTGAATAATGATTCCTCTTAGCGGAAATAGTTATCGAGTTACATAACATTAATTATCGTTAAAGTTATACACTAAACCAGAAATTTAAGTACAAAGAAAAATGACGATTATGTTAGCTATGATAAGGAAGGCAGTATCCCTTAGTAACCCATTAACATTTCTAGTAATTAGTAATTTAATTTAAATTTATAAATTAATATTATAATTTTTTTCTTTATTCATGTATGTATTTATTACTGGATTTCTGTAACTGTGTTTTATTTGTAACTCGCACATGAAAAACAAAACACTGAATGGAAATGTTTTTATTTTTTTATTATTAATTTTTATTATTATTTATACATAATACTTAATTATCCATAAGTAAACGAGACTATTTGGTTTATTATTTATACATTTTTTTTTTAAATGTTCAAATCGTGTATCTTAATTTTATAATTTTGAGTTACGACAGTATTT